CCCCCATGCACCCGTACAGCCGGGGCTGTTAAAGAGGCCCGACTGAGAGATGATTGTGTCATAAGTCAGTGAGCGCAGCTGTTGGCAAGGTCAGGCTCCCTTCATGGACGCTCTCAGTTTGTCTCTGCCGGTCCGTCGTCCCTTTTGTCTCCGTTTCCCCTCTGTTGTCTCCGTCTGGGCATGTCCCTGTACCAATCCTGCTCCCCTCTCACCCCCCCAGCCTCCCCCATCCCTCCCTGCCTCTCTTTTTGCATGGTCAGGCTTCAGGATTGCTTGTGATTTCAATGAATATTAATGGGAGAGTTTAGATATTATATTAAAACTCTCTCTCTCTCTCTCCCCCCCTTCTGGCTTTATGTTGGGTAGTGGGGGGTCAGACAGCTTTGTTGGGGAGTCAGCTGTGCAAATAGGATCCAGGTCACTAAGAGGCTTGCCACGTGGGTCACGTGGCTTGAGATGAGCCGTTCTCCAAAATAAAAGCACGGCTTGTGTGTAAACGTGAATGTGTCTTGTCGCCGAGGAAGGTGCTCTTCAAAGTAGGTTTTTACATTGACACGGTGCTCTGGATTTTGGAAAGAACAAAAGGGTTAGGTTGTAATTTTTTACTCTAAATGGGCCATTATTTACTAAATGAACATCATGCTGACTTAAATAGAAAATAGAACAAATAAAGTGCGATTTATGGTTATTTTTAGGGATGCAAGTAAGCATAATTTTAATAATCAATTAAATCTTGAAAATATCTTTTTTTATAATTTTTTTTATTTAAAGGGACCTGAGCTGTCAGAACAATAAATAATTTAGGAAAAATAAAGAAAAAACTAATCAGGAATTGTTTGAACGTCAGAACTTGTTCTGTGCACTTGTTCTCAGACACACACACTCACAATCTCTCACAATCTCACACTCAGACACACACACCCATGTTCACTTGAAGCTTATTCATTAAATGATTACCATCATGGATGTAAGTGCAAGTTAAGTTCATTTAAACACAGCTTGAGATGACCAAGTGCTATAAAATAACTTTAAATTAAATTTAAAGGAACAACACACATACATATATTTGTCATTAATAACCGATATGGGACAAAGCATAGAATATACATGACAACAGATCTAACGAATAAGGTGTTTTTAGTCTTTTTAAACTATGCTGTTGGTATTAACCAGCAGCAGGATGTTGCTCGTGTCGCTTTTGCATATCTTGCGATTAACACGTTTCTTTGATTTATTAGGTGTTTAATGCTCGCGCACCCTGGGAGACTGAGGTCGGACGGATTTCTCTGCCCGTCATTGCATCGCGCGACACAACAAACGGGGAATGAAATCTTTCAATAATCCCATTTAAACTTAATCGGTTGGTTGCTGCAGCCTGGTGATGTTCTCCTCGATGTTGGGAAGTCCACGTCCACCAGAGACCAACATCTGTGTGTGCGTTTCATGGTTTCCCTTTGAGTTCAACAACAAGCTCAAAGAAAAAAGCACTAATGGAAGAAAGGAATGAAAGAGCCAATGAAGGAAGGGAGAGGGAGGAAAACAATTACGAATTAGGGCTGAAAATAACAAAGAATGACAATAGGAAACACAGAAAGATTAAAATAATAAGGGAGGATAAAAGGAAGACAAACGGGGCGTAGGAGGAGACAGAGGAAATATCAAGGGGAACATAAAACAAGCGGTATTAATGATGAGATATTAGTGATGTTTAATGCAATTAAAGATAAACCAACAGACAAAAGGAAAAGTGACACTATGATGAAACAATACGACAGAAGGAACTAATGCCAGAGAAGAGAGGAAACAAGGCCGGCAAAGACAAAGCTACAAAGTGCATATGAAGTTAAAGCTGCCAAATGAACGCGATGGAGTAGGATGTGTAATGTTTCCCTCTGACGCTGGAGTTCATGTATCAGCGCTTCACCCACGGGGAGAGGTGGATGGTTTAGACCCTGGTTCAACCCTGGTTTAAATGTGGCTGTTGGTCCCATTGACTCCCTGAATACTCCTATTGTTCCGCGGTCAAATCAATTTAAGTTATTGACCGGATCACTTTACCCGACCTGCAGGGGGCGAGCTCACCCAGGAAGTCCTCCTCACTCCCAGCGAGCCCCAAAAAACGGCACCGCGCGCCCAGGACACCTTTTAGTGACGATGTCATGAGCTGAAAGGGTCCCGTCAACACGGTGGACCCCTTTAAAAATATGCCCGACTGCTCTAATGGCTTTTGACTCCATTACTTTCATGTGCAAGTGTCATATAGAAAAACATCTTAAGCAGCACAAACATGTTCATATGCCTTTTTTTTTACACCCAGATGTATGTAAATAGTGTCGCTATTAATTGAAAAAGTGGACGAAAGCGAAAAGCGCCTAGAAACTGCTTGTTTGGTTCAACTAGAAGGTGAAATCTGCACGTCAGGCTGTTGGCAGGAGTGCTGCTGTGGTTAGTTTCTGGGGATGATTCCTATGGAGCTCAGCGGATTCCTTCAGCTGCTTGAAACTGTTAAAAAAAAACACAAACCCTCATAATCCTTCATCAGCAAGCAGCATCCTCTCATCGTTTAATTGACAGGTTGCACTGTGCTGACTGTGTAAACAGCTCCAACGGGGTGAAAATGGAGGATCTCCGTTCTGCTGATGGCAGGTCGTGTGTTCTGGGCCACGGAAACACGTCTGTCACTGACATCAAAGTATATGTGTATTAATTGAAGTATTGACATTTCCAGATGAAGGCTTTGTGAGCTCATGAGTTAATGTCTAGGTAGCACACAGTGTACATGTACACCGCAGGCACTAACCATGAACGAGTCGTCTCAATATAGAAATAGGGAATACAGACAGATTAAGAAATGAACACGTTTTTTTTTTAAATAATTGATTTACTTGGATAGGATTGGATAAAATGTATTCTGAAACGTTTGAAGTGTTCATCTGCATTAATATTACTGACATAATTAATGCAGCTCTCATGCATTTTGTGATTCAAATTCTTAATTTTATTACTCGATTGATTTGTAGAACGAATAATTGATATAGTGCGTATAGTTTGCAATGTTTGCAATGAGGGTATCTAAATGAAATGAATCTTAACAGTCTAGTGTTGGTGCCACAGTGTGTCGGTTGCCTTCATTCGCTCTCATTTGCGATGGCCTCCATAAACGGATGATTCCATAATACACATTAACGCATTCGTCAATGTCGTTTTGTTGCAATTAGTGCCGCAGCAGCTCCGTTTTCCCGCAGGGATCCCGAGAGGCTCAATCTACCTCGCAGAATTCCTTATTGTCGCATCTCAGCGGTGACTTGTGTGACGCTGATGGTGATAAAACTGTTTAACACCCGGTCCAATTAGACCCAAATAAGGGAGAAAGGGGGCTTATCCATCTGAAAAGGCCTTTTTTAATTCCTGCGTTGTTGTAGGCTCTGACGTGCCGCAGAGACTATCAGAGGTCTGTATATTTGTCAGTAGCTTGTAAGAGGATCATGTCCACCGGCTTGGAATCTCCTTTATATTACTTATAACAGCTAGAATCCCGAGGGCTCTCCAACCGCCCCTTCACACACACACACACACACACACACACACACACACACAAACACACACACACACACACGCACACACTATGTTCTACTGTTCTCTTGGACACCTCGTTATTCCTCTTACTGCCGAGCTCTTATCTCATGAAACAAGGAAAAACGCCGCCCGGTTTACCAGAGCGATGCAGCGCCGTCACAGCAGCTACGCAGCAGTAAGGGTTACCGAGCAGCAAAACACCCTCTGATTTGTTGTTCTCGGGCCCCTCTGCCCACGCCACCACGCCCCCTCACACCCCAACCGCCCCCTCTGCCCACGCGACCACGCCCCCCCACACCCACACCGCCCCCTCTGCCCACTGCCCACACCACCACGCCCCCACCCCCCACATCACCACGCCCCCACCCCCCACATCACCACGCCCCCACATCACCATGCCCCCACATCACCACGGCCCCACATCACCACGCCCCCACACCCGACGCCCTCACACCCCCACGCCCCCACATCACCACGCCCCCATACCCCCACGTCACCACGCCCCCACATCCCCACATTACCACGCCCCCACATCCCCACACCCCCACATTACCACGCCCCCACATCACCACGCCCACGACATTACCACACCCCACGTTGTGTTCTTGTGGGCCGGCCTCCCTTTAATGGGTCGGAGAGTCCCACTCGTTGCTGCTGCTTTTTATTGGCTAATGCATTGATTTATTTCCCCCCATTGAAACTGACGCCTTTACTTTGAGTTTATTTCCCATCAAAAAGCAAAGGCGGAGTTCCTCATTTGGAGAAGGATGAAAACCAATGCAGTCTTTTAAATGGGTTCTCCTATGTTACGTAGGCCGACTTCAAAACGCCTGCAGTGGAGATTTTACAGAAGTAGCTCTTGGCCGTGTCCGGCCGGTCCTGTGAGATTGGACTGTGAGAGGGGAGGAGGGGTTTTCTTCAGGGCCGGCTTCGGCTTCCCATTAAAGACAAGCGCGTGGGGCGAGCCCCCTCCAGCCCTCACTTAAGCCCCACGCCGCACGCTTGTCAAAAAGAACAAGAGGGAGGCAAAAGTGGAGGCGTTTGGAAAAAAAAGCAATATCCCAAAGGCTGAACGAGTAATTCTCCACCGCAACTCTTTCCCTGAACTGAGACCTTTTACTTCATCACCTCAATTATACCGCGCGACCTTTGCTCTGAGCTCAGGCTTCTCTCCGAAGCTCGCACAACATGGCCGCACGCGTTCACACAAACTGCCGAGGGAGACGCTGCATCGCGTTGGGGGTGGGCGTGTGTGTGCGCTGAGAGGTTGAGTTCCCTCGGAGCTCCTTAAGACCCGCATTTTGCGGAGGCCTCTTGCCCGAGAAGGTGAGGCAAAAGAAAAAAACTGGCGCTATTGTTTCATTTTCTCTTCTGATCCGAGTGATTGATGTCCCTGTGTTTCTTCTCCCCCCCCCACCCCACAGCCCAGCCAAATCCGCCATGGTGGGCATACAAGGAGGTGGTCCAAGGCAGCTTCGTTCCAGGTGAGCCCCCGAGACGGACCACCGCACACACGCAGCCATTACCACTGAGTACATTTGAGGATGTCATTGGCGCCACTTTCCCATCGGTGTTATTTTCTCATTCTGACACGGAGCCTTTCGCCGCCTTCCCACACTGCAGCTCGCAGTTCCTCCACCGAATTCTCCCAGCTCGTCGCTCATCCTCCACGTCAAGCCGTCAATTATTTTCCGTGAGATGGTGGGGTTTCTCTTTTTTTTTTGCTGAGATTTTGAAAAAGCCCGCAGGTGGCGGTGTGAAGTGTGTCTGCGCCCACGAGGACAAAACGCATCGCGCACACCGGTAGAGCAATTAGGAGGAATCTGAGCAGAGGACTCTCGCCTCCTTAAGGGTGACGGGAGGTAAGAAGGAAGGACTTTTGTAAATGCAAAGATTCTGAAATTGTATTCTGCAAGGTGCCGTTAACAGTCAGAAGCGGACGTGGTCACCGTGTACTGTCGCCCGTTGGCTTGTGGCCTGCCGTCGCCGTCTGGAGTTTTTTGCAACCAATAAACAGAAGTTTCCAAATTTAGAATAGTAAGGAGTGCGAGCGTACCGGTAGTATAACCGATCTGTCAGCTGTTAATGGGACCAGTTTACTAAATGGACCTCATATCATCTCATGCTGTATTAAGCCACAGACCATGAACTCATGTCTACAATGTTTATTGCGGATATAAATCAAGTGACAAGTAGAATCTGACTTCTTTTTGCAAGTAGTGACTTGATGCTGGTTAGTAGAGGGGAAGCAGGTTTTAAGACACCTACGTAATTATCTTCACTTCACACAACCGAAGTTATAAAACCAAACGGACGCTTCCAAGGAACTCCGGCATGTTTAATCTAAGGCAATGTGACTCTAAAATACTAATAAGAAGAGCTGGCAAAGGAAAGTGAAATATTGTAGGAAGGAGTCACAGTTAAAGCTGTTGGATGCTCCACTGTGTCCTTCTACCCACTGAGAAGAACACTTCTGTGGTTCTACCATCAGGGGAAGACGCCCCAATGAAAAAGCTGTCAATCACACGTTAACTCGCTAAGTCCATCGTTTCATTCATCTTCTGCTAGCTTCTCCTGACGCGTGTTGGATACGCTCCTACCTCAATCAGAAGTTCTTTTGGGGAAATAGATAAATAAAGGTATGTGAACGCAGAGTGATACTGTTTTAATTCTAAAGAAGCAAACTGCAAAAGTAAATTCGGCTGATGGACGTTTTCCCCATTGACTTACAGTTGAGTCTCCAGGTTTGATGATTGATTTGCTCTCGCAGCGTTGCCATGGCGTTGTCAGTTTGTCCTCTTCCCTCTGGCACGCCGGGCGCGTTGCTCGCTCCCCGTTCGTATCTCCGCCGTCTCTCCTCGCAGGAGGCGCCACAACAAGCGCTCCCCATCCACCACAAGCCGGGGCGAGCGTTCCCGACCCCTACAGCGCCGGGCTCTTCACATGGCTGGGATGTAAGACAAGAACAGAACAAAGTGGTTGTTCTTTAAGGCCAATCTGTGGATGCCCAGTGAAATCATGCGATTCCACATTTCAGTGACACGCACACGAGTAATGGCCATTTCAGAGCAGCCACTCCACTGCAGCGCGCGCCATCCAACCTTTCCTCATGTGCACCTCAGCTGTTCCACATTAAGAAAACCCATCAGCGCTGACAGTTATGGCGGGGTTCTCAACGTAGGTCTGATGGGCAGCCGGGGTGATATTGTGCAAATTGAAAAGGAACTAATGCTGCTCCGTCGCTGGGAAAGTCTGATTGTAAAGCTCCACTCAGCTCCGGTACAGTAGTGCTATCAGAGAACTTCTTTCCACCTGTAATGGCCCATTCTCATCAGCGGGGAAACCGTTTGCAGGCTAAGAACTAATTATTTGAAGACTTTCACACTCCCAAGGTCAGTAAAGCAGATGCGATCCCATTCTCGGGTCACTGACCTCTTTGGAATCCTCAGATGAAATGCGTCACTTCTCACCTTACCATTGGAGTCCAGTCCTGGGCCTCGTCCTCCATTGTTCATTTATGCAGACGCGTGTGTCATTTGCTTCATTTTTGAGCTGGTCGGTTTATATCTGAGGAACACTTTCATGAACTTTAATTAACAGCACAACTTCCAACTTCAGCACCCGCTGTGTTGAGAATGTGAGCCCATCATAATGGCACGGGACTGAAAATAGAAGGTTAAGGCAGAGCATCCAATTAAGCCGGCTAATAAGCTGCCATTGTAATGCCTCAGTTATTCAGGGAAGTATTTTTTGGAACATGTCAGTCTGTATTTCATGACATAAGCAGGCTGCTGGACTTAATTGCACAGTAAGTGTTAAACCATAATTCTGAAAAGAAGGAATAGGAATCAGACAGGAACTAAAGCTGCTTTGGGTGTTTTGAAGAAGTGCATTCGTGAGTGTTACTCCTCAGTAGCTTCATAGGATGAGTCCTGGGACTGATCTGTAAGGTCAAAAGAAGCGTGATCTATTTCTCCCCATTACATGCATGTTCGGTGGAAACAGATCAAGCTTCTTTTGACTCACAAAATAAAGTTCTTGAGTGAAACCTGGCTCATGTCCACCAAGGCCTGTGTTCGTCCCCCCCAGAAGACACCGTCAGGTGTTCCTTCAGGATGGCCGAGCTGGGAGCGATTGACAGCGCGATGAGGGCAGCGGCGTCTTTGGTTTGGTTTCTCTCAGCCGAGATGCCTTCTGGGTTCTTCTGGGGTAAAAGGCTCCTTGCTGTGGGGGATGGGAGCACTGAAGCTCACAGATCAACAGATTACATGATTCTTTTATTGTTGTTCAGTTACTTTCAGCAGTTCTTTCTGCTTTACAGAAAATGATTTCCTAAATACAGCGGGACACTTAGCAAAGATGTGGGATGGGATGAGAAGATCAAAGGAAAGCGTTTGATGCAGGCTTTCGATACCCAGCAGGGTTCTTCTTGTTTTCATTCCCGATTGGTTCTTCAGAATGTGTGTAGTGATGCCAGTATTTTTAGTTAGTTGGTACAAAAACAAAACCAGGTCTTTCTTTAGCTCCCTGTCAATTACAGAGATTATTGGAACGATGCGTCTCTGGCAGCAAAATCAGTAAAGCCGACCTCCGTCTCTTATGAGTGTTTTATGAACCGTCTCAGCGCGGCCAAACACCACCAGGGCCGCAGGCGGTGTGCGCATGTGATGTGCAGTGAGCAGTGGATCTGACTCGCATGGAGATGAGAGGATACCGGGGAGGGCTCTTGATGCTGTATGCTGTAGCATGGAGAGGGGAGGGGGGGGTAATAGATTTTCACGCTCTTCTATGCCGTACAGTTTCATACCCAAACACTTTCATTCTCTCAACACCACAGTCTTGTCTTGTTTATGTGCTGCGTATTTCCCTTTGTGTTTACATCCTGCATTCAGGGATGTAGCAGCCGCCATGTTTCAATGTTCTATCTGGGAATGACGGACTGTGACAAAATTCTTTTTCAAGTGTTTTACAGAATGAAGACTGGAAGTTCTGAAATAAAAAAAAAAGTCCCTTTTAGCTCGTGAGGGATATCGGCTGCAGGTGAAATGTTCAACTCAAGCTCCACTTGCTCTGGAGCTTTTTAATGACTTGGGTGAGTTTACCATTAAACTGGTATTCGACCAACCAAGGAGTTGGAACCAGTTCTTTCTTCTTCTCACAGGAGCCCAACAGAACTTTGAGCAAAGGAGAGAAAGTTTGGGTACATTTGTCCCGTCTGTTAGGTCGTTATCCGGTAGCCCCATCGCATCTTCCCAGTTGGGTGGATGTGATGGGGCATCAGAATTGCCTCACCGGGGGGGCACAGGACACAGCTGGGGGGTGACAGGAGTGGTCCACATTTACCCATGAAACCTGACTGTGGATTATGTGTTGAACATCTAGAGAGGACTGTTGACTCTGGCTGCTCTGCGGTAGGCAGAATGGTGGACTTTCACCCATTGGACATCTGTTCCCATCTGTGAAATCAAGTCAAAGTAGATATGTTTGTCGCTGAAATTCCATATTAAAATGGCACTTTGCCAGTTATTTTAGCTTAAACCGAGCCACAACGCCACATTCATGGAAAGACACTCCTTATAAATAAGTCGCCGCGGGTTGGATTCAAACCGCCCACGGCAGAGGAGACTCGAGGGGCCTCTCATGGGCTTGAATGACTTCTCTCCTGGAGTCACTCCTGGGTTTTCTACCATTTTCCCACCAAGCCAGCAACGCATGTTAAACTCGCGCTGCTCACATGTAAACCAGCTTCAACCACCAAAACTACTTAATTAGGCTTAGAAGGAGATCGGGAAACACATAGTTCGGTTTAGGCAACATTATGTATTTAGATGTCGTCAAAGTACGGAAGTTAAGTGAAAGAGCTTTTGATTTATTTGTATTATTCAATGTAGGGCGTAAGGCTCTTTTACGAGCAGCGTGCTGATTAAAACAACAGCCTGTAAACCAGGTCATAGGTCACGTTATTCATCGGCTCATTCTTGCTGTACAGGAACAACACTCCATTAATCCTGCCCGATTGGTATTGTGCAACTCTCCAGAGCCAAGAAAGAGCTGAGATGGAGTTGTTGTTTTTTTTTGGGTTGATTTGCAAAATTATGAAAAGGACCTGTTTGTACAAGTGTGGGGCGATGTCACCAACATGAGTGCATGCGATGAAATCATCAGGCCTTATCGTACATCTCAACATCCGACGCTTTCCTTTTCCAATCCCCATCCGTCACAGTATTCTAGTCACATCTTGCCATATCCACAATTGAGTTTAATCCTGTGTTTTCCCCTCCTCACTCGTTTGACGGACACGTTTGCTCGCAGCGATCAAACAAGTGGCTCCAGTTTTATGTTTGCTTGCTTGTGAACTCATCATCTGTGTTTTCTCTTCGTTTTTGATTATTTATTTAGCAACCCACTTAGACGAGAACGTACATATATACATTCACACAAGTGCTGAGAAACAATTCAAGTTCTTTTGCACGATTAGTTGTAT